CCCCCCCTCTCCCTTCTCCTCCTTCCTTCCCCTCGCCCCCCTCCTCCTTGCCCGCCGCCCCTTTCCTCCCCCCTCCTTTCCCGCGCGGTTCCGCTTTTCCCCCCCGTCTTGGTTTTGGCTGCCCTTGTTGTCGTCCTCCCGGTCCCTGCTCCTCCCCTCGCCTCCCCGCGTGCGTTTCCTCCGCTCCTTCTGCTCCCCTTGGGTTTTTGCGCTCCTTCCTCTTGCTCGCCCCCCCTTCGGCCTTTTGCGCTGGGTTTCGGGTCGGGGTTTCGGCCGTCCGCCCCCTGGGTCGCCGGCCCTGGGTTTTGGTTGTGCGCGGTTTCCCGGCCCTGGTGCGGGTGGGTCCTGGGTCCTTGGGTGTCGCCTCGGCTTTTTGTGGGCCCTTTGGGCTGGGTTTGCTTGCCTTGCGCGCTTTTCCCGTTTGCTTCTTCTTCTTGCCTGCGCGGCGGTGCGCGCGGGCGGCCGCCGCGCTGCTCTTCTTTCTTCTCTTTGTCTCTTGGCGGCCCCTCTGCCTTCGCCCCCTTCCCTCTTGCCCTTTCGTGGTCGCCCGCGCTTGTCGCCCCTTGCGGCGCCCTTCGCCCTTTCCTGCTTTCCTTTGCCCCCTCCGCTTTTCCTCCTCCCTTTGTGGGTCCCTCGGCGCCCCCTTCCGCTTTCCTTCGCTGCCCGCCCTGTCGCTGTTCCTGCGCCCCCCTTTCTTCGCCCCCCCCTTGTTCCGCCCTCCCTCTTTTCCTGCTCCCCTTTCCTTTCGCCCTCTGCTCCCTCTGCGCCTTCCCCTTGCTCGCCCCTCCCCTCCTTTCCCCGCTCCGCTCCCCCTTGCTGCTCGCTCGCCTTTCCTTTTCCCCCGCCTCCCCTCCGCTTGCCTTCCGCCGGTGCCCCTTCCCCTCCCGCTGCTGCCCACTCCGCCCTGCCCCTCCCTTTGCCTGCCCTGTTCTTCCCTTTTCGCCTCGCTTCTCCCTCCCTTCCCCCTCCGTCTCTCTCCTCTCCCCCTCTCCTGCTGCCTTCCCCTCCCTTTCCTCTCCCTTTTCGCCCTTCCCCCCCTCCCCCTTCTCCTCCGTCCCTCCGTTCGTCCGCTCCCTTCCTCCCCTGTCCCCCCCTCCCTTGTCCCCCTTCCTTCCCTTCCCTCCCGTTGCCCCCTCGGTCCCCCTTTCCTGCCCTTTCCTGCCCCTGCCCGCTTCCCCCGTTTTCTCCCCCCCTTTTTCGCCTTTCCCCGTTTCGCCTCCTTCGCTCCTTTCGCTCCTTCCCCTTTCGTGCCTTCGCGTTGCCCCCCGCGCTTCCCCCCCGGTTTTGTGCGCCTGTCGGCCCTTTGCTTTTCTGTGGGCCCCTGCTCGCTCTTCCCCTCTTTCTTCTCGCCGTGGTCTCGTCTGCCGTGCTGTCGGCTCGTCGCTGTGTTTGGTTCGCGCGTGGCGCCCCGGCTTTTGGGTTCTTGCCCTTGCGCTCGTCTTCTCCCCTCCCCTCCTCCCCTTTTCGCCTTTCCTCCCTCCTCCCCCCTTGTTGCTTCCTCCCCCCCTTTGTGCCCCCCCCTCCCCGCTGCCCTCTCTTCGGCCTCGGCCGTGCTCGTCGCTCTGGCGTTTTGTTTCTTGCTGCCCCCCGCGCCCCCTCTTCCCCCTCCGCCCTGGCCTGTCCCTGCGGTCCTTTTTCGGTCTCTTTTCCCCCCTGCCCCCTCTGCCTCTGCCTCCCCCGTTCGTGTCCCCTCTCCTTCTTTGGGCTCCCCTCCTCCCCCCTTGCTTGTTCCTTTGCGCTCTCGCCTTCTCTTCTTGGTTGCCCTCCGCTGCCTTTCTTTGGGCTTTGCTTGGCCTCTTGCCCCTCCGCCCCCGCGTCGGCTCTGTCTGGTCTGCTTGCGGTTCCGTCTCGTCCCGCTCCCCTCCTCCCTCGCTCCCTCGTTTGCTCGCCGTCTTTTCCTTCCTCCTCTTTCTCCCCTTTTTGCGCTGTCCTCCTGGGCCTTTTGCCTGCGGCTTTTCCCTCTCTGCCCCCTTCTTGCTCCGCTCTCTTGTGTCCTTGGCTTGCTTTCTGCCCCTTCCTTCTTCCCGTTGCTTGCCTTGCCGTCCCCCCCGTCCTTTCCTTCTCCCCTCCTCCTCCTCTCGCCCCTGTTCTGCCTGCGCTTCGCCCTTTCTCCCCTCCCGCTTTCTCCGTCCTTCCCCGCTCCTCTCCTCCCCCTCCCTTTGTCCTCCTCCCTGTGCTTCTTTTCTTGCCTTCTCCCGCGGGTTTTCTCGCCTCGCCCTTTGGTGCCTCCCCCCTCCTTCCGCCCCTTGCCCCGGTGTCGTCCCCCGCTCGCGGCGCTTGTTTTCCCCCCTCCCCTGCCTTCTTTCCTTTGTCGCCTTGCTCCCCCCGTCTTTTCCCTCCCCCCGGGTGGTTGTTCGCCGTCCCCTTCTTCTTCCCGTCCGCCCTTCCGCCCTGCGCTCTTTCCGTCCCTTTGCTCTCCGCTGCCCTTCTTGTGCGCTGCGTCTGCTCGGCCTCTCCGGCTTGCTTCGCGTCGTGCGCCCGGGGCGCCTGTCTCCTCCCCCTCCCTGCCTTCTTCTTGTGCCTCCCCCTTTCGCCCTCCTCTTGCTTTCTTCCTCCCCTGCCGCCCTCTTCGTTTGCTTTGTTCCTCCCGCCCCTTTGGTGCCCTTCCCTTTTGGTGCGTTGGTCTTGGCCCCCGTTTCCCTCCGTCGTTGCGCTTGCCTTGCTCTCCTTCCTCTTGCCTGGCCTCTCTCCCCCTTGGCTCGGCTCCTGCTTCGTCCCTTTCCTTTGGCTCCCGTTGTGCTCGCCCGCCTGCGCCCCTTGCCTCTTGTTGTTGGTTCCTCGTCGCTGCTCGCGTCTTTCCTCCCGTCCCTTGGCTTTCCCCTGCCTCCGTCCTGTGTGTGCCTTCTTCGCCCTTTTCGCTTTGGTTGGCCCCTTGTTGGCTTCTCCGCGTTTCCTTCTTGTTGGCCTCCTTGTTGTGCTTCCCTTGTTGTGCCTTGTTGCCGGGTGCCTCTTCGGGTTCCTCTCCTGGCGTTCCTTCTTCTTGCCTTCTGGGTGCCCTTTCGGTTGTCGGTGTGCGTGCTCTTTCGGGTCTCCCTTGGCTCTTGCCTCCCTTTGGTGCGTCCCCCTCTCCCTTGCTTCTTCTCCTTCCTGCCCCCCTTCTCTTCCCCCCTCTCGTTCGCCCTCCTTGCCTCCCGCTTCCCTTCCCTCTCTTTGCCCTTTTTGTCGTGCTTTTCCTCCCCCCCCCGTGCCTCGCTTCTTCTCCCCCCCTGGTTGCTTTGTTGCCTCTTCTCTCCGCCTTGCTGGTGGCTGCCTCTCCCCGCCTGTTCCTTCGTTTGCCCGTTCGTCCCCCGTCTTTCCTTGGCCTTTCCCTTCCCCCGTCCCCCCCTTTCCCCCCCCCTGTCTGCCCTCGGTGCGCTTGGGTTTTCTCCCTTTCCCTCCTTCCTCTGGTGTTTTGTTCTCCGCCTTGTGGCTTCGCCTTCGCTTTTGCGTCTCGCCCGCCGTCTTGCTTGCTTCTGCCCCCCCTCTCTTTGGTCGTCGGCGGCTGCTCTCCTGCCTCGTGCGGCTTCCTTTGCGTGTTCGCTTTCTTCTTTCCGCTCCCCCTTTTGTTGCGGCGTTCGTGCGGCCGCTCTTGCTGTCCCTTCCTTGTGCCTTGCCGTCGCTTGCCTCCTCGTTCCCGCCCTCTGTTCCTCGCTCGTTCGCCTTGTTGCCCTCTTCCTCTCTTTTTCGCCTTGTCGTCGCTTTCCTCGCTCTGGCCCCTTTGCTTCCGCCTTCCTCCTTTTTCTTGCTGCCTCTTGTCCCTGTGTCCCTCGCCCCTCCTCCCCCCCCCCCCGTCTCTTTCTTCCCCCTTCTCCTTCCTGGGTCTCCTGGCCCCCCTCCCTCCCTGTGCCGTCGCCTTCCGGGTCTTGCTGTTGCCTCTTGCGCTTTGGCTTTGCCTGCTGCTTTGCTTTGTTTTCCCTTTCTGGCCTGCGTCCCCTCTTTGCTCTTTCTTGCCCCCCTGTTGGGTCGTCCTTCGCCTCCTTCTTTTTGGCCCGCTTGTTGCTGGTTTTGCCCTTCCCTGCTTTCGCCTTCTGTGCCCTTCCCCCCTCGCTTCCTTCGCCTTCTTTGCCCTCCCGCCTCCCGCCTCTTTTGTTGTCCTCCCCTCTCCCCCTCCCTGTTTTTCTTTCTTGCTCCGGCTCGTCCGCCTTCTTTCGTGGCTTCGTCTTTGCCTTGCCCTTTGCCTTTGTCGCCTTCTCCGCGCTCTCCTTTGTCGCCCCCTTGCCTTGTCCTCCCCCGTTCCCTTTTCCTCCTTCGCCCTCCGCTCCGTCCTCCCTTCGTCGCCCCTTTTTCCCCCTTGCGCCGGTTCCTTTTGTCCTTCCCTCTCGCTCGTTTCCCCCGCCCCTCCTTTTGGTCCTTCGCTCCTTTTGCCCTCCCCTCGCCTCGCTTTCTTGCCGGTCCTCTGTCGCGCGCCCCCGCTCTCGCCTCCCCCCTTCCTGCCCCCCGCTTCCTTTCTTTTCGGTCCCCCTCCTTGTTTGGGTCCTTTTGTGTTCGTCCTTTTTGGCCTCCCCCTCCCCCTCGCTCCCCCTGCTCCCCGCGTCGGTGCTTTGTCCCCCTTCCCCCTTTCTCCTCCTCCCGCCCTTTCGCCTCCTGCTTCGGTGCGGGTTGGGCCGCTGCTCGTTGCTTGCTTCTCTGCCCTCGCGCCCCTCTGGCCTTGGTCCCTGGTTTGCTTTCCCGCGCCCCCTCTTCTTCTGCGGGCTCTCCTCTCCCCGCCCCCCTTCTCGGCCTTCTTCCCCTCTTCCTCTGCGGTTTTCTTGCCCTCGCCTCGTTGGTTCTCCTTTGCGCTCCCCTTTTTGGCCTTTTCCCCTTTTGTTGTCTTGCCCTGCTCTCCTTGTGTTGCTTCGGCCTTGCCCCCTTTTCTGGGCCTTCCTTTTGTTTCCCCCTCCTTGTCTCCTTGTGCTCTGTTGCCTTTTCCCCCCTTTTCCCCCTGGCCCTTTCTTCCTTCCCGTCGTCGTCGCCTTCGTCCCCTTTTGCGGGGTTTTCGCCCCTGCTGGCTCGTCGCCTCGTCCGGCTTTCTCTCCCGCGGGTTTTTGCCTGTTTCCCCTTTTCTCCCTTCTTTTGGCTGCCTGCGTCCCTGCTGCGCTTCCTTCCCGCCGGTTCTGTTCTCTCCCCTCTCTCGCTTTGCCCTCTTCTTGCCGTCGCCCCTTTTCGGCTTTCCCCTTCCTCCTTTCCTTTCGCGCCTTTTGCCCTTTTTGTGCCCTTTCTTCCTTTTCCCGCCTTCCCGTCTTCTTGCGCTCTTTGCTTTGCGTCTGCGTGGCCCTGCCTTTTTGCCCCTCTTCCCTCCGCCTTTGCCCCGCTTTTTGCGTCTCGCCCGCGGTGTCCCCGGCCCTCCCGGCCTCCCGCCCTCGCCGCTCCCTCTTCGTCGGTTTCCCGCGCCCTCTCGCCTTCCTCCTGTTCGGCTGTTTTGCCCCTTCGCCCTCGTCGCGCCGTCTCTTCTTGTGCTGCCTCCCTCTCGTCCCTCGCTGCTTCTTCGGCTTCCCTTGCTTCTCCCGGCTCGCTTCTTCGTGCCTTCCGTTTGTCCTTTTTGCCTTTCTTCTCTTTCGCCTTGTCCTCCCCTGTGGCGCGTTCGCCGTCTTCGCCTTTTTGTTCCCCTTGGGCTGTGGCCCTTCGGCCCTCCCCTGTCCCGGCTTTCTCCCCTTGTCCCCCCCTTTGTGTTCTCTTCGCCCGTTCCCTTCTTGCTCTTCTCTTCTCTCGCCCCGCCTTTCCTTGTGGTGCTCCTTTGTTCTTTCGCCTGCCCTTCTTGCCTTTCCTCCCCCTCCGGCCCTTGTTCGTCCGCTCCCCTCCTTCTTTCCGCCTGCCCTTGCTGTCGGCCGGTTGTTCGCCCTCCTGCGGCTGTTCGTTCCTCCCGTTCTTCTTCCTTTCGTGTCTTCCTCTCGCCCTCCTCCGCCTTTCGCTCCCTCCCGCGTTTCTCCGTCGCTCCTGTCCTTCGCTCTCTCTGCTCGCGCCTTGCGGTCCCCTTCCTCTCCCCCTTTGTCGGTCGTCCGCGTCCCCCTTTGCGCGCTCTTTCCTTCTGGGTCCTGGTCTTTCCCCGCTCCGTGCTTTCTCCCCGCTTTTGCTCCCTCGCGCTTCCCTGTCGGTGCTGCTTTCGTTCGGTCGCCTTTTGCCCTCTTCGCCCCTTTTCCTGGCGCTGGTTCGCTTGTTGTCTTTTTCTTGTTCGTCGCCTTCCCCGCTCCTCTGCGCGTCTCCCCTCTTTCTTTTGCCGTGGTGCCCTTTCGCCTCTTTGGGCCTCTGGTGTCCTCGCCGGTTTTGCCCCCCCTGTCCTTGGCCCTCTTGTCCCCGTTCTTTCGTCCTCTCTCTTCCTTTGTCCCCTCCCTTTTTGGCTTTGGCCTCTCTCGTGGCGCCTTTGGCTCTCGTGGGTCGCGGTCTTCGCTTCCCTCCTTTGGCTCGGCCCCTTTGTGCTGCCTTCCCCCTTTCCTCCTTTCCCGCCGCTCCGTGCCCCTGCCTCCGTCTTTTCCCCTCCTCCCCTTTCTCCCGTGCGCCCGCCCCTTTTGCGCCCGCCCCCTCTCTCTCTTCCTCTTGCCGTTTTCGCGCTCTGCTCTCGCCGTCCCGCCTGCCTCCCCTCGCCCCCGCTCTGCTCCCCCTTGTTGGTCCCGCCCGGGTGGCGCGCCGTCTCGCGGGGGGGGGGGGTGCCTCGCCTTCTCTCCCTTTTTCCCCCTTCTTCTGCCCCCCCCCTTTGGTCCCTTCCCCTCTCCGTCCCCGCCTCCCCCGTCTCCCCCTTCGCGTGTGCCCCGCGGCCTTGTCCCGGCCCGTGTTCTGCTTTCCCTTGTGTCGTGCTCCCGCGCGCTTTTCTCCCTGCCTCCCGTTCGCCCCCTTGCTCTCGCTGTCGGCTGCTGTCTCTCCCCTTTCCCTTGCCTGCCCCCGCGGGCCCTCTCCCCCCCCGCCCGCTCCCGCTCCGCCCTCCCCGTCCCGGGTTCGTTCCCCGCTCCTCTCGGCCTGCCCGCCCTCTCTCTGCGCCGTCCGTCCTCGCGCGCGCGCTTTCTCGTGGTTCCGCGGTGGTGTCCTCCTCCTCGTCCCCTCTTCTCCTTTCCCTTCCCGGCGGCCCTTCCCTCTTCTTCGCTCCCCCCGCTCCCCTCGTGCCTCCGTGCCCCCGCCCCTTCTCCGCGTGCTTCGCCCCCGCTCCCCTCCCCCCCGGTTTTTCGCCCGCTCCTCTTGTTCCTCCCGCCTTCCCGCGTCCTTCGCCCCCGCTGTCCTCCTCCCCCCCGCGCCCTCCGCCCCCGCTCCGCTCTCCCCGGGTTTTCCCCCGCTCCCCTTGTTCCTCTGCCCGTTCCCCCGCGTGCTCCGCCCCCGCTCCCCTCCCCCTGGGTTTTTCCCTCTCCCTCGTTCCTCTCCCCCTTTTCTCCCCTCCGTCGCCGCTTTCCCCTGCCCTCCCGCTTTTTCTCTCCCTCCGCCTTGCCTTTCGCTCGTGTCTCGCTCCTCTCTGTCTGCTTCATTGGGCTGCTTTTTGCCTCTTGCTTGCTTTTCTCTTTGCTTTTTCCGCGTCTTCCCGTGTGCCCTCGTGCTTGTTCCCGTCTGCTTGGGCCCTTTCTGGCGCTGCACCGCTCTTTGCCCGTTGCTCCCTTTCGCTCTCGCTCGTCCCTTTTGCCTTGTCGTTGCCTCCTCACTTTTGCCCCACTTGGTCTGGCCCCCCTCCTTTCGCCGTCTGTCCGCCGCTTTCGCCCTCTTGGCCGTTGCTCCCTTTCTCTGCCCCCTTTTCTTTGGCCATGGGTCGCCCTCCCCCTTTGCCTTTCTCTGGCCTGCCTTTTGTTGCCTTCTTGCTTCTGCTGTGCCCCGTTGCTCCCCTCTTTCTCTGCTGCTTCTTGCTTGCGTCTTCCCCCGCTCTCCTTCTGTCTCTCCGCTTCTGCCCCCCGCGCTTCCCACTCCTGTTTCTGCTCCTTCTCTCCTGCTGTCTCGCTCCTTTGCTGCCGTCCTGCCCTATCCCTCCTTGTCTCCTGGCCTCTCTCTCCTGTTCCCCCTTGTCTCCCTGGCCCCCTCTCTCTCCTGTTCCCTTTCCTCTCTTGCGCTCGCTCTCCTGTTCCCCTTGTCTCCTGGCCTCGCTCTCCCGTTCCCTTCTCTCTTCTGGCCGCCCTCTCCCTGTTCTTCTCTCTCCCCTTGCTTCGCGGTGGGCCTCCTCCCTGTGCCCCTTTGCTTTGCTTGTCCACGGCTTCTTCCCTCTCGGCTGGGTCTCTCCCTGTCTCCCTCCGCCTTCCCTTCTTTTGCTTTCTCTCTCCTCCCCGTGTTCTCCCCTCGCTTCTCCCCTTGTGCTGTCCTCCCCGCTCGTCTGCCCTCCTCCTCCGCTCATTCTCCCTCTCCCCACTCTCCCCTTGTCTTTCTATGCCTGTCTTGGCCTGCTCTTTTCTTGTGCCCTCCCTCTTGCTCTTGCTCCTTTCCCGCTCGCCTTCCTCTTTCCCCACCCTTCCTCCTCGCCTGCCGCCTTGCCCTCGGCTCTTTCCGCACTTCGGACCTACTTCCCACCGTCTTTTCCCGCCTCTCGTCCTCTCCCCTTCGTGCCTTCCCTCTCTTCCCCCCCCACACCGGGCGGAGGCGGCCCCCCGCGCTTCACGTCCCCTCACGGTTGCGATGGCCGCGCTGGCCCCCTTGTTTGCCGCCTGCCTCATGCGCCTCATCCCTCGTTCCCTTCTCCTTGCCGTCATTTTTGGTGTCACGCTGCCTTGCTCTCGGCCGTCGGCCCTCTCCCGCGCTCTCCCCCGCCACCTCTCCGGCCCCTCCCTCCCCCCGCCCCTTTTCTCTCGTGCTCGGTACTAACTCCGCCTGCTCTGTCCTTCCTCTGGCTGCCCTCCCAGTGTGTCACGGCTCGATGGCCCCCCGTGGCCGCACCCCCCCCCATTTCC